TTGGAGGCTTACCGGCGCTCCAAGACGGCCCAAGAAGCTTCCAGGATCGCCCCAACACGGCCCAAGAGGCCTCCAAGAGCGCCCACAACGGCCCCAGAGGGCCCCAAGACAACCCCAGGGGTCTCCAAGATGGCCGAAGAGGCTCCCAAGACGGCTCCAAGAGCGGGCCCAGACGAGGAAATCGAACAGACATGTCGAGCTCCAGGCGCAGAGAGGTCCCCTGGGGGCCCCGAGAAACCCCCAATAAGCCCCCAAGAGGCCCCCGAGAGGCCCCAAGAGACACCCAAAAGGCCCCCAAGAGGCCCCCGTGACGCCCCAGGAGGTCCCAGAAATACAACCAAGAGGCCCCCGAGAAGCCTCCCATCGTCTCACAACACTTCCTTATTTCTTCCCTCTCCTCCTTCTCCCCCCTCTGCATCAGCGACCCTCAATCCTTGAACGAGCACTACAATAAGTCATCAAGACAAGAATCGACAGACCCCTCCTCATCCTTATCTTCCCGTCTTCCTCCTTCTCCTCATCCTCCGTTGTTTCCTCCTCTTCCTCCTTCTCTTCCAGACGACAGCGGCGAGGCAATATGGACCGGCGGAATGCGCGAAGCGATTTAAGAAATGCATGTGTGTTAGCCAGCGTGGACTCCGACACAGCTTTGCTTCTAGCAATATGTGTTGTGCAATTTCTGCGGTGCCAGATATGTTGCGCAATAGATGTTGTGCCATCTACGCTGTGCCATCCAAGTTGTGCAACATGCGTGATGCTATAGATGTGGTGCAAATAACGCGTGTTTGCAGTAAGCTGCCAAGTCCGCTGCTCGCGCACTAATCCTATCCACCCGCCCGCAACTTGGTTTGCAAAACCCATGCGACGGCGTTTGCGATCACAGCTTGGCGCTGGCTGGCGCATCGCTACGGCCGCGCTAGCGCGCGCAGGCTCGCGCGCGAAGGGGCCAACTAGTCTGGCGCGACCGACGCGGCCGCCGTGGCGCTGACCGCTGGGGACTTCTCGGCGCGCCTCGCAGGCCGCGCTGACGCGCAGGAGCTCTCGTGCGAGTCGGTGCCTCGGGCGGGCGCGGTATTATGGCGACGTCGACCCTGGCAGACACGATGGTGATAGTAGCGATGCTGGCGGCGAGAATGACGGTGACGACGGCAAGACCAATGACGGCGCCGATGCTGATCACGCCGAAGACGATGATGGCGACCACGCGTCGGCGATGAAGGTTTTTAAAGGATCTCGACATGCGCGGGCGGCCGACGGGCACGAGTGGCCTGAATGGTATTGTTTGACAAGGATCGCCCCCCCCCCCCCCTCCAGCAAGCGCGCCAAGGCGTTCGCCTGATTGCGACACGCGCGCGCGCGCGCGAGGCCCGCTTGGTCAAACTCCTTATAAAGATGTTGAAATAGGGGGAAAACAAACCTACCTCGCTTTTGACCACCCTCGCTTCCAAGAGATACCAAGCGATGCCAAACTACGGCCTGTACTGGTCAGGCCGCTTGACGAGGAGGCGCGTGCTATGACTTGGTTTTGCCTGGAAGCGAAAGCGGGGTAGGTAATTCACGCCCTGATGAAAACCAGTTTCAGGAGAACTCACCAGAGAGCGCGCAGATTTTTGAACAAGCATGTTGCAAAATCATTAGCTTTTATAATTAAGTGTTTAGACTTTTGATGGATTCTGGCATGCGCGCGCGACGCCGCGCGCTTGTGGACTTTGCCATCTCTGCTGCAAAAGACTATTGGAAATTGATGTGTGCTAAACGAATGCGCGCGCATAGTATCATTTGTCAGGGATGGAGCGAGGGGTTGAACCCGACCTGGCCGGGAGAATGTGATTTCATCTAGAACATGAGCGGTGGGGCAGAATCATATGTAAATTGAAACATGCAGGGCCAGCCGGATCATCCGGGGGGGGGACGAGGGGGAGGTCCGAATTCCTTTTTAAGAAGACTGAGCGTCGACGGGGCGGCGACGGCGACCACGGAGCCGCCACGCCGACACCCAGGAGGAGACGACGTGCGGCGACGAGGCGGCGACGAAGACGCGTGCGGCGACGAGGAGACGACGTGCGGCGACGAGGAGACGACGTGCGGCGACGAGGAGACGACGTGCGGCGACGGGGCGGCGACGGGGCGGCAACGGCGACCACGGAGACGCCAGACCTGCAGTCAGGCCCCGACGACGGGCGGCGACGAGGCGGCGACGGGGCGGCGACGGCAAGCACGGAATCCGCATATGAGACATGCCACGACACGCCGGCCACTTCCTCCTCCTCCTCCTCCTCCTCCTCCGTTCCTCCAGACATCCCTCCTCCTCCTCCTCCTCCAGACTCCTCCTCCGCCTCCTCCTCCTCCTCATCCTCCTCATCTCTCCTCTCCAGACCTCCTCCTCCTCCTCATCTTCCTCCTCCTCCTCCTCCTCCTCCTCCTCCTCCTCCTCCTCCTCCTCCTCCAGGCCTCCTCCTCCACTCGAGGCCGCCGCAGGCGCGGGCGGGCCGGCCGGGGCCTTCAGCCCCCGGAAGTGCGCCGAGATGTCCCAGGCGCTCAGGCGGAGGAGCTCCTCGCCCTGCGAGGGCGCGCCGAGCGAGAGGTACACGTTCTCCTGGCGCCGCGCCGCGCCGCGCGGGCGCGGCGCGGGCCTCGTCGCGCGAGGGGGGGGCAAGACGAGGCCAGGGCAGGGACCGAACCGGACCGGACCAGGACGCAACGCGCGAGCGGGGCGCAACCTGGAGGAGGAGGAGGAGGAGGAGGAGGAGGAGGAGGAGGAGGTTACCAAGCGAGTTCAGGACATGTTGGGCAGGTGTGTCCAGCAAGCTGAGGGTGCCGCGCAGGGCGACATCGCCTACCCATGCTATGAGTGCGGGAAGATATTCTCCACGCCAGCAGGGTACAGAGGACACTCGAGACGGGTGCATCAGCTCATTGACTTCGCTCAACTGCACGCGAGAGGCTCATAGTGTCAGGCTTGTGGCACGGATTTTCACGTACGACCTGGGCTCATCAAGCACCTCAGACGGCCTGGCTCGGGCTGCTTGCAAATGTTGATTGACACTGAAGTACCCCTAGGCACGGTGGAGGCGATGGAGCTCCGTGAGCAGGATCTGATACTTGGACGTGAGCGTGCAGCTGCTGGACATGCTCCAGATGCGGCCGTAGATGCGGCGGCGCCTGGAGATGACATGCACTTCCCGAGGGTTGATGACGTGAGGGCGATGCCGCCGGCCGTTCAGGTCTGCCCTACCACATCAGCCATGGCTCCCCAGATGGCGCCACCGCCCGCTGTGACCCAGATGGCAGATGCTGTTCTCATGTCAATGGGCCCGCCTGAAGCTAATCATTTTGCAGGTGTCATTAGTGTTGTTTGCAACCCAGTCAATGTGACCTTTCTCTACTTTGACTTTTCTAATGATACTGTTGCTGATTATTCCGAGGACTCTGCAAACGTCAGTACTTGGATTGATTTGATCAGATGCAGGACCATTGTGGCGATGGTTGCGGCGCCGCCCAGGAGCTCGTGGCGTTTCCCGAGGCCTGGCTCGGTGCAGAAGGTGCTGCGCAGGGCTGGGCAAGCTTGGGGAGCCCAAAGGCTATCGCCCAAGGATTCAAAGGCGCTGGACAGAGAGAACTTATTCATCAGATGTGCGGCTCTCTTTTGGGCTGCCGCACATGTGTCTGGTTCATCCGCAGTGTTCCTGCATGCGGGTGGGCAGTGGTGACTACCTGAGGCGGCATCGCTCTGGCGAGAATTTGCTGGCTGCAGTGGTGGCGCTGCCCACTGCCAAGAAGGTGGAGTTCCATGGGTGTGCGTTTGGTGCTGCCCACAAGGCCCCGTCGGCTGTGCTCGCGATCAGGTGCCCGTCCCTCCTGGACAGGATGCGGGCTCGCCGCGACGGGGGGAGGAGGAGGAGGAGGAGGAGGAGGAGGAGGAGGAGGAGGAGGAGGAGGAGGAGGAGGAGGAGGAGGAGGAGTGGCCATCCAGGCTCCGCTGGCGCCGCTACTGCAGGAGAGCCGTCCTCCGACCTGGGCTGCCTCGTGGCAGCCGCGCTGCGCGAGGCGCAGCCCAGGCTCGGCCTGCTGCCCGCCGACGCCCAGGCCCCGTCCAACGTGCACGGCCTCCAGCAGCTCGCGTACGTGCCGGGCCCGTGCGCCGAGGCGGGAAGGGCTGCTGCCGCTGGGGCCGAGGGCCAGGCCGCGGGCCCGCCGTGGGCGCGGCCAGAGGGCGGGTAGCCCGCTCCGTCCTTGCTCGTCCTCTCCCTCTTGTGCACGATGTGCTACTCTTCGGGATCCTCCCTCATGGATGGGTCAAAGAAGTAGGAGGTTGGAGCGTCTGGGAAAAGAAGTAAGTAGGAGGGGGAGGAGGAGGAGGAGGGGGAGGAGGAGGAGGAGGAGGAGGAGGAGGAGGAGGAGGAGGAGGAGGAGGAGGAGGAGGAGAAGGAGGAGGAGGAGGAGGAGGAGGAGGAGGAGGAGGAGGAGGAGGACCCCTCCCGGGAGGCCCGCAGAACCTCCCGCTCTGCCTGCGGAGGCCCCGCTCCCGCCAGGCTCCGCCCAGCCCCGGGGACGACTCGGACCCGGGCGCCCACTGGAATGACCGTGGGGGGTTCTAAGTGGATAGGGGGGTTACGCGCGGATGCTAAGGTGGGTGTTACAAGCGCCCCGAATGGCTTAGGGGGGTTAGATAACTCCGCTAAGTGGGCGGAGCCCACTTAGCCTGGATCGGTAACCCCCCTAAGCTACTTAAGGCACTTGTGACCCACTTATAAACCAGATTGGGCCAGATATAACCCACCTTAGCATCCACTTGTAACCCCCCTATCCACTTAATAACCCCCACGGTCGTCCAAGCAGGGCGAGGCCGGGGCATCGGAACCGCAGCGGCCCAGGAGGCCTCGTGGGCCTCCTGAGGCCGGGCGGCTCTGGAGGCGCCGGGCGCCGCGGCCGTCCCGGAGCGTTGCGGAGAGCGCTCCGGGAGCGCCTCGGAGAGCGCTGGAGCGGACTGCTGTGGTTTGTTCCTCGAGGGTCGCGCGCGCGCCGTGCGCGTCACGAGCCAAGTGGCGAGAGGTCGCGAAGCAGATCCGCCGCCCGGACCGAGAGGGGTGGAGGCCGACGCTGCACATGAGGAGACAGTCCGATGCCAGAAGCTTCAGGTCGGGCATGTCCTCCTACAGGCGGATGTTGAAAGAATCTAACTGAAACAAAATCAAAACTAACACGAATGCCACGAAGCATCGTCCCCATAATCTTGTTTACTCTTCTGGGAGTTTCCTCCTGTAGAGGAGCATGCCCGACTTAAGAGAAGCCCAGGAACGATGTGCCCTCGGCTGCACGCAAGAGGTGACCCTGGGCAAGCGAGTGACATTTGCTCCGCGGCTTACGTAACGTGGGAACGCGGGGTGGCCAAACCTGGGCGCGCAGGGGGACAGGCGGGGTCTCCAGGAGCCCCCAGGAGCCCGAGAGTTTCCAGGAACGTCTTGCCTGTTTTTCCTGGGTCGGCTACAACTTCGCGCACCGCGCGCCCCGCGCCGCGCGATGACCTTCGGGCCGTCGTGCCCCCGCGACGCCCCCTTGGAGAACGGCAGCCTAGTCTGGCCCTGGCCGCGACGCGCGAAGCGCGATTATCATTTCGCCCCTGGGGATGACCCAATTTTCTCAGCATTGACATAACAGGAGATATGTCGACCCCTATCCCAGGCTTTGGGAGGCTTCGAATGAACCAGAAATTTTGGGCCCAACCCTGGGACACAAGATGGGGAGACGTCCATCCTCGACAGGGGTGCGTCCGAATAGCCCCCTTGGGATGCACGTGACGAGAAAGAGGAGTTCTGCCGTGGACCCTGGCGTTTCACAATGGTCATGGCGGGCTCCAATGGGCTCCCAGGGATGATTGCTGCTTCCAGGGCCGAGGACGAGGGAGGGGGGATGCAGCAGGCTGCCCCGGTCCTTCTGGAACGAGAAGTCCGAGAAGCTGATGTCGTTGATCTCCCAGTCGCAGCCCCTGTCGGTGCCCGTCAGCCTCTCGATGTGCACGGCCGGGAGGATCCTCAGGATGAAGTCCAGGATGGTGTCCTGCCAGGCCGGGCGGCGGCGGGCCGCAGGGCCGCAGGGCGGGCCGGCCCCGCGCACGCCCTCGCGCCTCCCACGGCCGCCCCCCCGCTGCATCGCTTCCGGGAAGGGGCCCCGGGGCCCCGGCCCGGCCCCTACAGGGGCCAGCTTCTCGTCCCGAGTCGTTCTGGTGGACGGCCCTCCGCGCGGACTTCTTGGCTCTGCGCTGGACCCCCGCGCCGGGCGTGGCGCCGGAGGCGCCGCCGGGGGTGGGATGGCCAGGGCCCCGCGCGGAGCCGAGAGGTCCGCGCGGCGCGCCATCATTTTTTTGTTGAGTCTGCGGCATTCCTTCTTCTTCGGTGGGCGGCCTCGGCCACGAGCCCTCCGCCGTGGTCTCCGCTCGCGCCTCGAGCACGCTCCGTGGCCTCTGCCGCCCCGCGCCCCTGGCCCCGGGGCCCGGCCCGCCCGCGCAGTCCGCTCCGCGGCGCGCCCCGCGCGGCCGCGGGCACGCGGCCGCGCGGCGGTGGTCACCCGGAGCGGCCGCGGGGGCCTCTTGACCTCCCCTGACCTTCCAGAGAGCTGTTCTTTAGCACGGGAGGCCCAAAAAACCAAAAAAACGAAACGAAACAGCCCAAAACCAAGACATAGAAGAGCTCTGGGATCGGTCTTTAAGTCGCCTGCTATTTCTTAGCCCTCCTGGAAGGTCAGGGTCCTCTCTGGGGCTGCGTGCCGGGCCCCGGCAGCCCACGCGGAGGCTGCAGGGCGCTGCGGGGTGCGCACGCGCAGCGCGTGCGACCCGGCAGCCCACGCGGGGGCTGCATGACGCTGCGGGGTGCGCGCACGCAGCGCGTGCCCTCGGCCCCAGGGAGGAGGGCCAAGGGTGGGAGGGCCGCGCAACACTCGGCCCAGACATCCGACGACGTGCTGAATGCAGTTTGCGGACCCTGGAGTCCCAGAACCATGTTTGATAGTCTTGGGTCCCGAAAAACGGCCTACGGATGCCAAAACCGACAAAACACCGCGATTGAACAAATTTATCCGCCAGGGGTACGGACGCGTCTGCTCGAGCGTGCGGTCTTTGCCTCGCCCAGGGGCGAGCCGTCCTTCAGCTTTCCCACCAGCTGCTCGCGGACCTGGGCGTCGGTCAGCGCACCCTGCGCGCTGTTGAGCAGCGCCTGCCGATGGGCAAGGCAAAGGTAGGAGGACGGCAACTATGCACCGACACCATTGTAGACCAGGCCCATCCTGGGCCCAAGGTCGGCGTATATACCTACAAGGCCTTGCCAGGAAAGCATATACACCGACTCTTGGAGGCTCAGGATTGGCCAAGATTGGCCTGGCCTGGTGTAGGTGTACAGTCGAAGTTCTCCAACGAGAGGGAAGACGAAGGGGAATTAGCCGAGTCCCCTGACACGTACAGAGGCCACTGTCCCAAGACCTCCTCCAGCATCGAACCTCTCCGATGCTTCATCCCCCCCACGTCATCGAAGGAACTGGTCCGGGAGGAGGTCTTGGCCTGACCAGCCCAGTGCCAGTGGGAAGACGCCAGGAGAGGTTCAGACGAGGGCGGGAAGAGAGGGCGGAACCAGGGGAGGGAGCCCGAGAAGAGGAGGGGTGGCGGGGGCGAAGCGCGCGGGCGAGGGCGAGCGGTGACAGGGAGAAGGGGGGCCACGTGCAAGAAATGGCGGCCGCCAGGAGAAGAGGCAGCCGCACAGGAGAAGAGGCAGCCACGAAAGCAAGTGAAGGAGGAGAAGGAGGAGGGGGAGGACGAGGAGGAGGAGGAGATGGAGCTGGGGTAGGGGCGGCCCAGGGGGGGAGTTGGAATGGCTTCGGTGGGAGGCGGCCCGTATCGGGAGTGGGGAATGGGGGGAGGGGGGGCGGGGGCGGATGACGACATTGACGAGCCTCCCCTCCTCATCCTCCTCTCATCCCTCCTCCTCACTCCTCCTCATCCTCGCCCGCCGCGCCACCGCCTCCTCCTCCTCCTCCTAATCCTCCTCCTCCTCCTCCTCCTACCCCTCCCCCTCCTCCTCCCTCCTCCCTACTACGCCCCCCGCCTGCGATGATGTGCCCATTCGCATTAAGATATTCCATCATTGTGACCACCATCATCATCCTCCGCTACTAGCCGTAATCATCCTATCAATCCGCCTTCCCTCACCTAATCATCACCATCCTCCTAATCCTCCTCTCATCACGCCTCCACGTCTCCATACTCTCCTCACTCCATCTCCACTACCCCCCCCGCGCTCATTCCCACACCTTCCTCCTCCTACCTCCGCACCCCCCCCCCCCCCCTCACTTCTAACACTCTCCAATCACTCACTCCTCCTCCTCTCCAACTCATACCTCTCCTCCTCCTCCTCCTCCACTCCTCCTCTCCTCCTCCTCCTCCTCCTCCTCCTCCTCCTCCTCCTCCTCCTCCTTCTCCTCCCTCCTCTCCTCCTCCTCCTCCTCCTCATCCTCATCCTCCTACCTCCTCCTCCTCCTCCTCCTCCTCTCTCTCCTCCTCCTCCGCATCCCCCGCACATCTCATCCTCCTCTCCAGGCCTCCCTCCTCCTCCTCCTCCTACCTCCTCATCCTCATCTCCTCCTCCTCCTCCTCCTCCTCCTGCTATAGTGGAGGCCCATGCCAAGAAACACCCTGCTTGCCTCCAGGGTGCCCTGGGCTTCTTGGGCTTCGATGGTTCTGCTATGGAAAGCGCGACGCTTCCACACCAAAAGTCAATGGACGTCCTGGGGTCTCAGGGTCGAGTCTCTTGTGGAAGCTTTCGTGTGGACTAGACTCCTTTGTAGGCCAACAGGCGCAATATCAGGATGGCCGAATCCTGGGCGGACTGCAGGGGCGGCGATTGTCCTGGCAGAGTGCCCTGGGGGGTATAGGAGTGGAACACGTGTGTGCAGGACGGGCCTTCTCGATCGGCTGCCCTTTTTCCCGCCCTCTTCCTCCCCTCTTACCCCTCTCCCCCCGCTCCTCGCCACTGCCTCCTCGAAAGTGCTACTGCCGATCCCCTCATGAGTGGAGCCAGCTTCTCTGCGCTGCGTGGGCTGGCCAGGCCCACGCGCTCCCTTTTGACTTGACCGACGCCGCGCCGCCGCGCGCGTGGCCGCGACGCCAAAAACTGCGTGCAGGACGGGCACGCCGAGCGTGCAGGGCGACGACACCACGGACGGCAGGGCCACCCCCTGCCCCGCACGGAGCTCGGCCAGAAGCCTGCCTCCCGCCGAAGCGTGAGCGCCACGCCCGCCGGCCCCGCGGGCGCAGCAGCGGGCGGCACTGGGCACCAGCAGCTGCTGCCACCTAGGGCTCGAGCTAAGCAGTGTTTCTCGTTTTCGTGCTGCTGCCGTTCTCCTTCGTTCTGGCTGCGCCCTGCCCCTGCTGCGAAGCGAGATCGAAAAAAAACACGAAAACGGCCCTCGAGAAACCGCCCACACGCCGTTGAGCTCGAGCACTGCCGCCACCAGCAGCGCGCGGCGGAGCTGGGCTTCAGCCGCCGCAGGGCAGGCTGCCGGCGGGCGGGCGGAGCCGGCGCCCCGGGCCGGCAGGGGGGGCACGCGGCCGCGGCGGGCCCGAGCAGCGGTCGGCCCCCGCGCGAGCGCCTGGACGGCAGCCGCCCCGTGGGGGCCCGGCATGCAGACTCGCACGCGCGCGGCGGCGGAGCGCGGCGCGTCTGGCGTGGGCCCCGCCGGAGCAGGGTCGTCGGAGGCCTGGAAATGGGCACCAACAGCACCACGGGGGGCTGCCTCCACAGGGGGGAGGCGATCCTGGAGTTCGGTGCCGGTGGTGCTATTTCGGCCACCCTGGAAGCCAGAATATGACCACCATCACCGAGATCGGGATCTTCTTCCTCGGTGGAGGCACACCGCCGAAATTGGTGTCGGTGTCAACCTCTAGGCCTGCGAGGGTCACGCTGGAGTGAATCGGTCGCCTGCGTTGGGCTGCAAGGAAGCTTGAACGCAGCTGCAGTGCAGTCGCAGTACAGCTGCACGCCCCTGCGAAAAAGCCAGCATGGCTTCAGTACCGTAAGCAGCTCAGCAACTCACAGCACACCTACACGCTGCTTTGTCGAGTTGTCTCGAGGTGTCCCAGCTCATGTGTCGAGAATCGGTTCACCGTGGTTGCGAGCATGCCCAAGTCGTTACGATGTGCGAAGGCAACGGCTGTGAACCGCCAGTGTGGCACTTTCCCGTGTCACATTCCCCCCGAGCCTGAATAGCTCCGAGAGGCCCTTCCTGCAACCCAGGCTCAAGGAAGGGGGCAGCCTGGCCGCAAGCCTGGGAAACCTTCGTCTCCAGAACGGGGAGTCGGGTGCGCGGTGTCGGGACGACCCGTCCTCACAGCAACCGCACCTCCACGAGCAGCGCTCCGGAAGGAGCGAAGAGTATGTCTCTGGCCACGGCCAGCCTCGGCCACGACGTGCCTCCCCGACCGGAACCTATAGGGAACCGCCCCCAAAACCGACGGCCCCCTCCTGAGCCCAAAGCGGTCCTTACTTCAGCGTCTTGACTGCACAGTGCCGTTTTCAATACATGCTCCGCGTGCGGATCATGTATCAAACATGCAGGGATCTAGTACTAAAAACACTGATGAGTTCATGCATAAATTTATTCATACATTGATCATGTATTAAAAGTCATATACTTTTAAAAATTCCATGTGTTAAAAACTGCCCTGTACCGCTCGACCTGGGAAGCTCCCCCGGGGCACCGCCACGGGCCCGCCCCTGGTCGCCTCCGGATCCAGGTCGTGCATCCTCTTGAGCAGCTCCTTCTCGAGGTCCTCGCTGGCAGGGGGCAGAGGGGCACGAGGCCGCAGAGACAGGCGGAGACCATGAGCAGGACGAGAGCCGAGTGGCTCCTGGCAGCGACATCGGCGGCATGGCCGGGCAGCGCACTGCGCCCGGCCGCTTGACATCGAAAGGCTGGGCCAAAGGAGGAATAGAAGACAAAAATGCATGAACGCAAACTTTCGGAGGTCCACGCGGATTTCTCTAGTCGGCGTTGGACCCCCACAGTCGGCGCCTCGGGCACCGCCCGAGAAACCCGCGCGGACCTCAAGAAGATTATGTGCATGTCGTTTTTGTTGCTCGAAGGACTTGGTCCGAGGCGAGGGTGAGGCAGGGGAGAAGGCTTGCTCCTCTGCTCCCAGAAAAAGCTTTCCCGATCATCTGCAAAAAAAAGGGGAGGGGAGAGGTAATGCTCCTCTGCGTCCAGGCCTTGCAGCGCCCAAGGCCGGACGATGGACGAGCGTGCACCGTGTCGCCCGCGACACGCTACTGTGAGTACTGATTGCTCTGGCCTGGCCCAGACTTGCTGCCCGGCCACTCGTGCCAGTCCGTCACCTGCAAAGCCCTGCCTGCTGCTACCCTCTAGTGCCTTATCCTACCTTCCCTTGCTGTACCTCGCCGTGCCCTGATCCTCACACACTACTCCCTGCCTCCTTCGACAACGTGAAAATGACTGATCACCCAGCTGCGAACAGAATCCAACAGGATCCAACTCGTGACCCCTCCGCACACTCCCCGTCGTTCTGTGGATGTTGTATTAAAAAAGGTCGTACATGCCAGAGAAGCACGCTGTGATTCTCTTGGCAAGCGCCCGATACCATTGTGGCATGGCCACTTGTAACTTCCCGGCAACTGCGGACATGCCATGCCCATAGCTGTCCCGATACGCAACACGCAACACGTAGCGTCTCGACACGGATCTCAACACGCAGACTGAAAGAATAGGCCTGGCGCGGTGCGCTCGCCAAAACATGAACCAGCACGTGCCGAGCCAACATGCAGCGTGTTAACTCTGACGTTTTGAGCGCGGTGCGTGTTTCGCTTCAACACGGGCGTGGCATGGCAGCCGAGGCCACAGCCTGCTACAGTGGGACACTTCCCCGACCTGTGGGATTCCATGCGTAGCCGACGCCTCCCCGCGACGGTGTTTGGAGGCCTGGAAATGGGCACCAACACCAAGACAGGGGGCTGCCTCCACAAGGGGGAGATGATCCTAGATTTCGGTGTTGGTGGTAATATTTCGGCCACCCTGGAAGCCAGAGTATGACCACCATCACCGAGATCGGGATCTTCTTCCCCCGGTGGAGGCACACCGCCGAAATTGGTGTTGGTGTCAACCTCTAGGCCTGCGATACTCGTGAAACCTCGTGCACCTCTGCGCCCACGCTCCGCCCGCGCACCCTGCGCCCACCCCCGCCAGCGGACATCCGTGCACACAGCCCCTGCTCCTCTGGCGGCGAGGCGGCGGCCGCCGCCGCCGGGAGGCGCGAGGCCGGGACGGCGCTGGGGCGCATCCCCGCCGTGGCGTGGCAAACGGGTGGAGTGCACGTGGCGGCCGCGTGCAGGATGCGGGACTGGAAAATGACCACAGCCACTGCTTCTTGTTTGCGCCGCCTTCCAGCCGGCCGAAAAAGAAGCAGTGGTTGTGTCATTTCCCTGGTGCCAAGCTCAACGAAAATG